ATAACAGAAATTTAAAGTTATAAAAGATCTATTCAGATTAACAAAAGCTAACTTAGAAATTTACACCTATCTCTTTACCAAATCTTTAACACCAAGCTTCTAGAAAAGTTAAATGTATAATGGCATGTGTTTAATAAATAACAAATTTGATAAACAATATATATATACATACATACATACATACATACATACATACATACATACATACATACATACATAAAACAAAGCTTCTGGTCCCCCAAGGGGGTTCTTTTCTCAGAGTGGGGCCAAACCCCAACTCACAAGCCCTGGTTTTCTTGTTCCCATTTGGCCCTGAATCTTTCCCCTGACACTCTTCTTTGCTTTCTCAGGAGACAATAAGTCCTAGTCATATGAAAGCTGCTAACATATTGGAGACTTTTAGGGAACATAAGCTGATAGTCAGCCGTTCATAGCTAATAGACAAACAGTCCTCAAAACTCAGAGATCTGCAGAATATAGCATTTAAAATGTTTAATTACAAAGCTTTTCATGATAGAGAGACATGCTGGATACTGACAGCACCTTTATTTCCTCCAAAGAAGATGGATTGGCACAGAACCTCCACTTGGAACTTGCTCCAGAGTGGCAGCACCAGTTGCTGAGCAAAACCAGCCTTTCACCTCAACGGCTGCCAGGGCTTTTTTCAAACCATGGACAACAGGACTCTGGGGAGCCCATTGCCTCACTTTTGCCTAGACAAGGTAGGCTGGTCCTCCCCAGAAGTCCCTACCCCACAACTGTCAGATCTTCTGAGGTCTGGCAGGCCTAGGCCTGGCAGCCAAACACTGATGTTGCCCTGAGACCTCTGCCCTCAATGACCATGGAGAATCTTGGGGAGGCTGCTGTAGGATGGTCTTTCTGCAAGCTATGAATCTGTGTTGGTACCATTGGTTAATTAGGAAGCTGCTATGGCCTGTGGCAAGGCAGAATAGAGTCAGGCAGGAAATCTAAGAGAGAGACAATGAGAAGAATGCAGAGAGATGCTGAGTGCTGCCCAGGGAAGCAAGATGTGACACAACACAGGTAATGCCACGAAGCCACGTGACAAAACATAGATTAATAGAAAAAGGTTAAATTAAGTTGTAAGAACTAGTTAATGATAGGCCTTAGTACAGGCCAAACAGTGTGTCATTAATATAAGCCTCTGTGTGTTTACTTGTGATTAAGCAACTGCAGGACACAGGAAAACTTCCACCTACAGGAGGCTGTCTAGGTAGCCAACAGGGAAGTCTCTGTCACTTTCAATCACTAACTCAGGTAGAATGTATCCTTCTCAGATCTCTGATGTCATTTGACAACCAGGCTTTGTCAATTCAACAGCTGCAACCAAAGCTTTAGCTGCCTTTTTTGTTCTCTACGTGAAATTCACAGACCTCATTCTCTTAGAGCTCACACTGAGTCTATTCACAGTTCACCTTGCTACCTGATTCAAACAAGGGATAAACTCACTTTGCAATGACTGCCCTCATTATCTCCTGGTGAATTAGATAAAAAGAAGAAGCTTTAACATTGGTTTATGTGAAGATAGGAAAGATGTCTCACTTCTGTTCACTTATTTATCCTTCTCAGATCTGATGATGTTTGCCAATTTTCGGCTCTCTCCCCCAACTCCAAGGCTACAAGCACCTTGGTAGCTCATTAGTAAGATTCCTATTAAAAGTACAGGCAGGTGTGATGTAGTCAAAGTCTTCATGGTACAGGATAAACTGGTTTCAGATGTGACTTCAGAGGTTCAGAGTTTTAACATTGATAAATGCAGTTTTGATAAACTGATAGAACACTGACTACAGTCTTGGGAGTCCTTAAATTTCTGTGGACTTTACTTGTCCCAGCTTTTAGAGACAGGTTTGCATTAGAGAGGAAAGAGAATCCTTCCTGCTCCTCCCTCTTCACTCACTCAACCACAGCCACTCAGCAAATTTCTTCTGCTTATAGATTTAAAGATGTGTTTCATTGGGCTGAAACCAGGCCCTAGAAAATGTTCATACCTTTTAACCCAAAGCCATAGCTTTTGCTATGACACCAAGATGTAAATCTGTTCTACTTGTTTTAAAAACTCTTGCAGGTTCCTGCACAGATCCACCTCTCCTGCCAGATTCATGCCAAGGCCAGACTCTCAAGGGCCCTCTAGATCATACCACCAGCCACTGCACCAAAGGAGGACACCAACCAGGAGAATAATGGTTCGATAGAAGCATTACCGACCTCCAGAGAAACAGCAGATGTGATGGCTCCTGTACTCCTGATTTGGCATGCCATGTTCCCCCAAGCTCCTGGAACTTCACTGCTGGCACCACCTCTCCAGACTCAAAGGGATACCTGCCCTTTCATCTGGCTCACCCACACTTGCCTCTTCTGTACAACCATGGCACTTCTCTGTCCCATTCTTTCTGGGAGTTATCACTCTTCCCATGGCTAGCCCTGCTCATGAGGCCAATGATAACAATCTATTTTTCCCCTAGCAACCTGCCTTCTTACCTCCCTCAAGGGGTCTCTAGGATGACAGCTAACTGAATGCTTCTTCACTAACACCTCCAGCTCTGTGTGATCTCATCTCCCAAATTCCCCATCCCCTTTGCCCCCAAAGCAGCAGGAAGCAGTCTCAAGAATTTTGTGTCCTCATAACCCCACACACACACTTGCTATCCATAACTCACCTTTTTTATAATAATCAAAAAGTGAGGAATGGTAGGTAATGTTAGCAGTTAGACCCACCCCTTGGGGACCGACCAGCATCTGGACCATGTCATCTTACATAAAGTCTCCTCTTAGAGAAAACCCCTCCTCCTTCTCTCTCTTCCCTCTTCTCTCCCTCTCTCTTTTTCACGAGGCTGCACACACCTCTGCTTTCACTTTCTCTTCTCATTCTCTCTCTCTCTTTCCCTCTCATTCTCTCCCTCCATTCTCTCTCTTCCCTCTCCCCTCCCCCTTTAATAATAAAACTTTCCATGTAGATGGCATGTCTTCATGATGTTAATAACTTTCCACTATGCCATGCCACAGCCTGCCAGGTGTGCATGGTGTGTCTCCCTCAACTGCCAAGGCTGGCACATGCTGTTTTATAACAATTGTGCCAATAAAGGTCATTTGCAAATGTAGTGTGAAGTTCTGTTTTTGAAAGCTATTATCATAAACTATACAGGATAATCAAGAAACATAGGTCAGGGGTTAGTCATTTGTAACAATCAAATTTATAGCTATGTTAGGTATGTTTTCTAGGTTGAATAGATATATTTTAGATAGATGGTCTTCAAATACTTCAAAGACATATAGAATATGGCATTTAAAACGTTTTGTTAAAGTTTTCCATGATAATGAGACACATCTGCCCCTGAAGCACCAATTTACTTCAGAGAAGATGATGGGCATTGAAGAAACTCCTTATGGAGTCTGATTTCATTGTGGCAAGGTTAGCCACTGGGCAGAGAAACTGTTCTTGCCTCTGACTGCTGACAATGTGCTGTGCAGACTGGACATGCAGGACACAGAGGAAAAAGAACTGTTGAACTTTGCCAATACAAGGAAGGATAGGCCTTCAAAATTCCTGCTTCACTGATAAGTCTGCCCTATGCTCTAAGCCTGTAGGCTGAAGATGGGTGCCCCAATGTTGCAGAAGGAGCTTGGATGACTGTCCAGGCAGTCAGATGTCTCTGTCATTGCTAGAAATTTAGAAGTTGTTTGCAGTGAACTCTTTGTTTATTCAAATAATATTATTCTTCTGGGTCTTTGATGGAGTTGAAAACTAGATAGTTACAGTTGCAGTTTTTCTTAGTTGTGATAGAAAATAAGTTAGGTGTAAAACTTTGGATTCACTAACATAGGATAGATAATGCATTATTTCCTCTGGATATGCTAACTACAAATGGACAGAATATTGTAAATGTGATTCCTACTTGATAATTGTTTTGTTGTTTGTAGTTTTCCATTAAAGTAAAAACCTTTATTTTTATTTAGATGAAATGAGGAAATATTATAGAATATTGTTTTAAGGTATGTTACTTTTGTTTATGTTGCATTTGTTTAACTCTGTGAAGCTATGTTACTGTGCCTGTCTAAAACACCTGAAGGTCTAATAAAGAACTGAATGGCCAATAGCTAGTCAGGAGAAAGGATAGACAGGGCTGACAGGCAGAGAGAACATATAGAAGCTAAAATCTAGGAGGAGAAAAGAAGAAGTAGCCTGAAAAGGAGGAGGACATCAAGGGCACCCACATTACACTGGAATAGAAAAGGAGGCAAAAGGGGGCTGGAGAGATGGTTCAGCGATTAAGAGCACTGGCTGCTCTTCCAGAGGACCTGGGTTCAATTCCCAGCACCCACATGGCAGCTTGCAACTGTCTGTAACTCCAGTTCCAGGGCATCTGACACCCTCACACCAACTCACATAAAATAAAGTTAAATAAGTTAAAGAAAAGGAGGCAAAAGATATATGGAATAGTTTTAAGTTAAGAAAATCTGCATAGAAATAAGCAAAGCTAAGGCTGAGTATTTATAATTAAGAATAAGCCTCCATGTGTGCTCTATTTGGGAGCTAGGTGGTGGGCCCCCAAAAGAATAAAAAACAACCAAAAACAACATGGCTCTAGCTGCACCTGTTGCTCCTGAGACCTGACCTTGGGAGGGGTAAGGCTTGTGCTTTGGGACTCCACTGAGGATCAGGGTGGAGGTGGAAAGGCAGAGGACTGGGCAACTGTTCAGTAAAGGAAAAAGACACTGAGAACCATGTAGCCTTATCAGCCAATGAGACATCTTATTCCTAAATCTGGTGGACCACGGATCCAGAGATTAACCTGGCTTCATGTGTGGGGTTCTGTGATAGAGAAAGATAGAGAAGAGGATGTGCTCTGTTTTGTTTCTTGCAAAAAGTTAGGCTGCTATGTACTTTAGTACAATTTTCCTGTGTGTGTATTTAGGCACAGTGAAGACCGAAAGGACACCAGGATGTAATCCTGACTTCAGGTCGTTTACTCTCAGTCCAGTTAGGTTTCTTGTATCCAACTTCCTAGAATGAGCACACAGCAGAAGCGCTTTGAATCCAGTATTTTTAGGGCCAAGGTGTTCCTTTAGTGTCCATGTGACTCTGTATATTTCTCCATTCTCTCACCTCCTACTTGTCTGACTTCTCTTTCCTTTCCTTCCTGACACCCCACCTTTCATTTCCATTTCCCTGCCTCATCTCTCCCCTCCTTCTCCTTCTGCTTCTCTATAACCCCCTCCATCTATCTCAGGCTGTTTTCTTCCTTTGTTGTTGTTGTGTTTAGAGTCAAGGTTTCTTTGTGTAATAGTCCTGGCTGTCCTTGAACTCAAGAGATCTGCCTTCCTCTGCCTCTGCATCCCAGAGCATTGGGATGGAAGGCATGGCTGGAATCATCACCCACTCTTAAAGGTGCTCCCCTAAAGGCAATGTGTAGCTAAAGTTTTCCTGCCTGGCCCAGAGTCAGGACAAATCTCTCTCACCCACCACGCCCACAGCTGTTCAAACCCAACCGAGTAAACATACAGAGACTTATATTACTTACAAACTGTATGGCCGTGGCAGGCTTCTTGCTACCTAATTCTTCTGTCTTAAATTAACCCATGTCTATTAGTCTATAAGTTGCCACATGGCTTGTGGCCTTCCAGTACCTTACATCTCCTATGTCATGGTGGCGGCTGGCAGTGTCTCTCCGCCTCAGCCTTCCACTTCCCCCAATTCTCTTCTCTGCTTGTCCCACCAATACTTCCTGCCTGGCTACTGGCCCATCAGTTTTTTTATTTATTAACCAATCAGAGCAGCACATTTGACATACAGAACATCCCACAGCAGCAATGTCTTTCCCGTTAATGTTCAGCTTCCAGGGCTACAGAATGATGTTCTTTGAGGATCTAAATATGTTTGGTAGACAGAGAATACAATCACCAAAGCTGAGTTCTTTCAATTGATTCTCTATTAGAGGACACAGTGTATAGTGAAGACAACCAGACAGGCAGGGAAGGTGTGCCAGTAACTGTGGTAGCAAGTCTTATGGTGAAAGCCTTTTTATTACTTGTTGTATGGAGCCTTGGAAAAGCACATGGTGGCCTGGTGGTCACGGTTGCAAATTAATGACTCACAGAGGTGTCTTTGTCTGCAGAGAAACAAGAAAGGAAGTTGAGTGGAGCCCATGACCCTGCTCCATACGATTTGTAACCAAAATTGAAACCAGTGGCCCTCTCATCAGTACAAACTCAGGGTTGAAAGACAAAGCACACAAAAGAACATTAGGTGGCTCAAATTGTTGGAAAACACTAATAAAAAAATAGTTGTTGTGGGGCTGGGGAGATGGCACAGTTGGTAAAGTGGTTGCCATGAGGGTCTGATCAGGATGCCCAGAGCCCTTGTACAAAGCAAGGTGTGTTGGAGCATCTGTAACTCTATCGGAAAGTGAGGAGAATGGATCTCCAAAACTTGTTGTTCAGTCAGGCTATCTAAAGGTGAGTGCCATGTTTAGGGAGAGAGACCCAGCCTCTAAAGACATGGTGGAGAGTGACTGAAGAGGACACAGGATGCCAACACACTCCTATACATAAAAACAAATAAACATGGATACTTAATTCTAAACCCAGAAAACTACAAATATCAACTACCACTTCTAAAATTATATGATTTAAAAAAAATAAAATTATATGATTTAAGACAATCTTCCTGACTCCACCTCCCAAGCACTTGGATTACAGGTGTGCACCACCACACTCAATTCATGGGATCTGGAGGTGGAACCCATGGCTCTGTAAATGCTAGGCAAGCACTCTAGAAACTGAGCTATATTCCCAGCACTCTGAATTTTCACCTGTAAAATGGGAATGATAAATATTGCCCTGCATAGTTTAGTATTTAGTCCAGTATCTGACTTATAGCCAATGGTGCAGCTCTCCATTTTTTAGTCAATATGGAATCAGTATAACACAGCATCTAATAGGAGAGGCTTTGGGCAGGCAAGATGGCTCAGGGAATAAATGCACTTGCTGCCAGGTCTGAAGCAGAATTCCAACCCAGGATTCACATGGTTGATGGAAAGAACCAACTCCTGCAAGTTGTCCTCAGACCTGACACCTATGTTGTGGCACAGGTATGCCTACCCCAAAAATACATAAAATCTTGAAATGTTTTTAAACAGAGGCTTTGGAATGGTGTAGATCTGTGTTCCAGAACCAAATGCCATCACTTCTAAGCTGGGTGACCTTGGGCAAGTGACCCTGCCTTCCTCATCTTCCTCATCAGTGACCTCATCTATATTTCAGTATCTACCTGAAAAGACTGTTGTGAGGTCACATGAGACCAAGGAAATGCCCACTAAATGAATGGTGACTGTCCTTGTTACTTCTGTGTCCCTTCCAAACCTGCCCAGGGCCAAGCAGAGTCCAGAGGTCCTGGAGTATAAACCTACCACTGCAGGTGACCTCATTCCCAGGGCACAAGTATGTGTAGAAGCTTCTGTAGGGGTCATCTATGAGGGATTTGCAGCTTTCCAGCTTCTTGAACTGAGCATAGCAGTTGTCATGAGTCTGGCATCACCTGGAGAGGGGAAGAAGCAGCTGAGGGAGGATTATGGACCCACAAGAGGTCAGTTCTCACTTGCAATCTTTCTCAAACATGTAAGAATAACTTAAACACAGTGTTTATAAAGTAATATTCCTCAGGCTCCAGAATCTGTGATTTCTATTGTTTCGTATTTATTGAAAACAACATCTTTGGAATGTGATCAGTGCTGGCCTTTAGTCCCAGTGCTTGGGAGGCAGAGGCATATGGATTAGTTCAAAATCATCCAGGGATACACAGTGAGACTCTTGTCTTGAAAAAAGTGATTTTTTTAAACAAAACTGCAGGAATATAGTAAAATTATATATTCTAATTTTGTGATGACTTTTTAAAGCCAAGGCTGTCACTTTGATGGGAGCTGTGATGGATGGCTGTGCCCTAGTCTGGTACCTGAGGCCAGCATTCCCCAAAATTTATATCGCACACATTCTCCTCTCTCGGACCACTAGATACAGGGTGATCTTTGACTGATTTCTTTATAAGACAAGAGGGGTAATATGCATGCTGGTGGTTGTGATGCAAGCCTTTAATCTGAGCACTCAGGAGGCAGAAGCTTGAAGATCTCTGAGTTCTAGGCCAGCATGGTCTCCAGAGAGAGTTCCAGAAGAACTAGGTCTACACAGAGAATACCTGTCTAGAAACAAAAAGAAAGAAAGAAGGAAGGAAGGAAGGAAGGAAGGAAGGAAGGAAGGAAGGAAGGAAGGAAGGAAGGAAAGAGAGAGAGAAAGAGAGAAAGAGAGAGAAAAAGAAAGAAAGAAAGAAAGAAAGAAAGAAAGAAAGAAAGAAAGAAAGAAAGAAAG